AAATAATAATTAAAAAAAAAAAAAAGGAGAGACTGGCTACATTGATCCAAGAACGAGCACGAGAGAATGGTGACACAAATTTTAACCCAAACCCTAACAGAAGAACACCACACTGTACCTCCATTGATAAAGCACATCATTCAAAACCCGCACTTACTTTTTCTCTTTGTTAGATTTCTTTTGAAGTGGCATAATTTCTCTCGTTCGCTATCTCCCAGCTCGACTGACGCCTGTCCGAACCCAGGGCAGAATCAACCTCGGACAGATTATGATGACGTGGCACGTCGCTGCCCCTACTCCGGATATCCGCCTCAATATCCTCTATATTATGGCGTTGTGAGATTTTCAAAAGATCGCCACCGATATCTAAATCATCTTCAACCTTTATTCGCCGATCATCCCCCGAGTTATTGTCCTCTGGTTCGGATTCCCGTGTGGAGTGTACAGGTGGCGCCCTCTGGGGCTCATCCTGCACAAAAGCCCGGAAATCATTCCTTGAGGGCTTGATCTTGGTGCAAAATACTTCTAGGAAGTTGTTAAGACAGCCACTATTGTAAACGTTGACCCTGTTGTCTGATCGATAACGGAAATTTTCGTACGTCGTCTGTGAAAGGAAATATGAAATGGTATTTTAATAGGATGGGGTAAAATTAGAACATCCAAAAATAAGACATAAAATCAAAATTAATGCTCACCCACAAGGCAGTACAAGTTCAACTAGTCGGATAAGTTTTCTTGTGAACATTTTATAATATGTTAAGTATATAAAAGAGAGGTGAAAGCAAATGTTGAAACTAAGAGGATGCTTGGATACAAACCTTCTCAAAAAAATGCAAACATTTTTAACTCAACCACTTTTTTTAACTCAACTTTAACTTAACTCCACTATCATCAATATTAACAATATAATTAAATAATATCAACCATTAATTCTTATACATCACATCAACTTAGTTACTATTCATCCACTCACATAGTTTTAACTAATCATCACTTCAAATCATTTATCTCCTACTTTTACATCAAATCAACTTTAATTATTTTATTTTAAATATTATGTTAATATACTCGCTAACAACTAACCATACCACATTTTTTAAAATTAACCAAACCAAACCAAAAAATCTAAATAAATCCAAAAAATTTGATATCCTAACATCCCCTAACTGAATCGTGATTTAGTCTTCAGAAAAAATTTACTTTTCAAGATGAAACAAAGAAATCTCACCTGATTTGAGCTTATCAGATAGAGGTGAAATCCCGTAAGCCCACCAACGAACCACAAGGATATGAAACAATAGACCATGAGAACTACAGAAGCAGGGGACTCTTTCATGGCCTTCCACACAGTGCCTTGATGATCATCCATCAACACCTTTATGTAGAATGCAGATATTGCAAACACGTACACACAAAGAAGTGTTGCCGAGGATACAAAGCAGAAGAAAAAACGGTAGTTTCTCTGCACATTCAAGCGAACAAAATGCAAACAAAAACAGAAAAAGAAAAAAAAGAAGGGACTCGTTACGCTTAAAAAGCAGCAACTCAAGAAAAATACTATAAAATGAAATAATATACAGAAAATCGTACCAAGCCAATGCACTGGCCTACCCAAGGGCAGTGATGGTCAAAACGCTCGACACAGTTGTTGCAAATGGAACAGTGTGAACAACGCGGGGGACGGTATAGCATGCAAGTGTCACAATATTTGACTCTCACAGGGACTCCGTTGACCATTATTTCTTTTGTTCGGGGGAATTGGAGGCTCGGTGTCTGTCGCCCACCGATATCGATTGTTGCTGATGTGTCATAACGGAATTCTTCTTCTGGAGGATGTGAGTTTCTTGGTACAATTCCTGGGTCTCGGCTTGAAGTCAGAAGCAGAAGTACTAAAACCTATCAGAATCAGTCAAGGCATTGAGTATAAGCCACATGATTTAAATAGTTCTGTATGTAGATTGTAATTGTAGACTAACGTAAGATAGAGATTGAATATAATTGAAAAGACAAGGAGTTAAAAGATCCAATAATCACACATGAACATGAGAATGTTTAAATGCTTTTGGAAGAAGCTGTGGACCGGCCATATCAAATGATCCCTGTAATCTACAGTTGTTTAAAGTTATAAAGGACATATCTCCAGATTCTATGAACTTTTTTACTTGGTCATTTACATAATCCCACAGTCACAACAAAAATGGCTGTAAGGTATCTTTAATTTGGTATGGTTTTATAGGTTGCAAGTTATACTAAATATATGCTCACTGGACAAATCGTTAGTCTCTGGCACATAAAACATAATTTTGCCCTTCTAGTCTTTGATGAAGGTGAAAAATATCCATTTTCATGGCATACCCAGCCAAATTACAGAATCCAATGCCTTTTTTCTATGATTCACAGACGAAGTTCCTTCATCAGACTTCTCTGTCATGAACAGTTATCAAACCTCTTGCAGAAAATTCATCAATATTATCAACATAACCTAGTCCCCACAAAGCTCAGGGAGTGAGAAAGAAAGTGTTCACAATATTCTCATAAATGAGCTAGCCCAAAAATAAATTAGATAATTAGCTGATATATGAGATGTCCATAGATTGACACGATACATGTGTACAAAATGAACAGTTTCTGGGCGAAGATTCATACGGAAGCATGTATGGACAAAAATTAGAGCAGCCACAATAATAAGAAATGGACCAAGCAAAAGAGGTACTTAGGAACTAACGTGAATAGTGAAGACAATTGCGACTATGAGGATTGCATATCCAGCATTGTAGGACGAAAACTCATGACGAAGATGCCTTGCGACAAAAACACAAAAGATAACGACTGGCGCAATGATCAACAATAGTGTGACCAATAGTGACTTTGCATCAGGGCCAAAAATCAACCTCCCACCAAAAAGAAATATCTGCAAAGATACAATCTATGTCAAGCATACTTAAACAATAACAGAAGCTTTAAGAAAAAAATTCAAATCATTCTCAAGAGTGATAGAAAAACATCTTCTATAACTAATATCCCGCCACTGCTACCTGGGAAGCATAGATCCTATGATAGCACAGGCAACAATATAACACGGAAATATCTATACTGCAGCACATAATGTAGGGTGGCATGGCATGTTGAACATGCAAAATAAGACTACATTATCACAACATGGCAGAGACTCAAAATACAAATGATTGTGAATTCTATCATTGAAACAAATTCAGTGTTCCTCAGTATAGCCACAGAATCTTCCTGAAGTAGCCACTTCAAGTTCCACAGGGCAATAGCAAACATGTTGACGAGTATAAAGTTCACTTTCGGGAATTTTCTACTCAACATTACTCAAATACCAAATAACAAATACTTATGAAAGCATATAATCCTGTATAAAAGCAAAAAACAATCCGGCTTCTTAAATCTGACCCTCCAAATATATCTAAGCATCAAACCTTGATAACTTGTAAGCGAATATTTAATCTCTTAACATGTTCCTTATATTTGCAGCCTCATTAGCCATTACATCTACTTACTCAAGCTCCATCCAATAAGATGATTATATTATTAAAATCAACAAAGACTGTAACATGTGATGGGTTATTTTTCTTTGGTTCACTGAAAATCTAAAGTAATCTTCTTCCGTGATGAAGCGTTGGATTGGATCTAAATACTCATTTATTTCTCCGGGATATTCTTTAGCATATCTCCATATAATTCTACAGTTCACTGATGCCAAACGTACGATGATCAATGAGTGTAACCATAGAGGAAAATACTAGAGATCATGCCATGCAAACGAACTCCTAGCAATAAACAAATATAAATCTGTCAATTTATTAAGTGCATAATTTCAGATGCATGTAACTAGCCTACCATACAAAATATATAAATTCAAAATGCAAGCATTCGATGTATCTTTTGACAATTTTGTAACTACAACTTTGAGCTGCCCCCATTCCCTATACACACACAAATAGAGTGCTGAAAAATGAAACAACTGTTAAACACAAAAGAGAAATCCGAAACTGAATCTCATGGAGAAAATAAAGGGGAAAAAGAAAAGGATCCCAATCTCAAAAGGCCCTAAATAATGATTGCCATTCACAATACGCTTACAGTAATATCCTATACTTGGGTTCATTGGAGATGTAAAACACCTTGATTGACATGATTGCAGTGCATTTATTATATTAATCATCATCACTTGTTTCTTTACTTATTTAATACCCAATTATTTTGAGTGAGCATCCCTGCTTGTTGTTATCTTTGAGTGAAGCATATTAAATAATAAATATGAATAAAATAAGATCTTTTCTAGTTGAATCTAATAGCTCCACTAATATGATTGTACACAAGATCCATCAACTTGATAAAATAAAGATGGCATCATAAAAACACGACACAAGAAACAATTCGCGGTTCAAGAAAACATGATTATGATAAACTAAAAAGGTGAAAGACATAACAGGGAAAGGAAACTGGTATACGCTATAACACTCCTTATGTCAGCATACTCACCCACCTCACCAAAGTCATACAATTCAGTGACAGTAAAATGTTAAATTAATGAAACCATAGCTGAAATTTTTAAAGTAAATTGCAAGTAATCAAGTAATCCTTAGCTTCATAGATACAAAAGATTAGACACAAATATTTCTCTCTACTCTAAGCCTGGACTACAACTGTCCAATATTACATCAAAAGTAGTTTAATAAATAAATAAGAAAGCAAAAAATGTTCCTTTCTGTCTCTTTCCAAGTCCGTGCACTTATCAATTTTAGCTGGCTAATAGCCTAATACCCACTTCGTTTTCTAACAATTCACAACGCAACCCACCCAAATCCTCACCCACAAGCTAGGAGACTGAAAAAACAAAATTGACTTAACAGGCAACTGATAAAACCAAAATACCCATAGCAATAAACACCATCAGCATAGGCCCATAAAAAATCTCAACAAAAAATTTCCGCCTGAACCCAAATTAAAGAGGGAGACAAAAAGGAGGAGAAAAATCGAATCTCACATTGTTGCCCTTCCATACTTCGTGCACGCGCTTAGCCATCCAGCAAAAAGAAAAAACCCAGAAACAAAATACGCTCTGCTACGCCGGAAATGAATCGAAGATTTCAAACTTGCAACAGCTCATTTCTCGGCGTGAGGCTAAATTTCCGGCAATTAATTTAACTGTACTTTTCCTCCTCCAATAATTAGAGCGACCAAATTTGAAAATGCGGCGATTTAAGACGGGGGATTTAGGGATTTTGAAATTTTGAAGGGTCTTGGTCTTCGGTTTTGCGATCTGATTGGCAGGGCTGAGGGAGGTTTAGGAATATTATTGGGAAGGAAAGTAATTGTGACTGAGGTTTTCATCATAATTTTATTTAAAGAATGTTTTTTGTGGAATGAGTACTTTAGTTTTAGTAGTAAAGTTTTCATTTATAACTTGCCAAAAATAACAATTTTATTGGTCTGTAACTTGGCAATTTGGCATAGATTATAAAATATTAAAATATACAAATACTCTATAAAGGCCTCGTCAAGAATTGTGGTTAGAGGTGAAAATCAAACTAAACTGTTTTTTATGGCTCTTTCCTATTCAACTCTTTGACCATGCGGGGTGTAAATTTGATTATGTTAAGTTCAATAAAGTTTAAATATAATAATATTAAAAAGCTAAGATCTCCTCTTAATATAATTTCAAAACGTGTTGAGCTTAAATGGCTGTCTTGCACGTTTCAAAAACTTACTTGGCAACATTACATGCTTCGGCTTTTAGTTCAGATTCATTCCCTAATTGTTTAAAATAAAATATTTAAAATAAGGATTTTTGCTTTAATCCGATCATCTCCAACTCCAAAATAAATAGGATTCTTGTAATTCACAAAATACCAAAATAAAAAATAAATAGGATTTTTTGTTTAATACTATAATACTTAATAATTATAATTTCAAAACAAGCTGAAGCTTGATAAACTTACTTGACAACATTACATGTTTCAGCTTTTGTTTCGGATACACTCCCTAGTTGTTTAAAATAAAATACTTAATAAATAGGATCTTCGGCTTTTGGTTCGGATACACTCCCTAATTGTTTAAAATAAAATACTTAAAATAGGATTTTTGCTTAATCCGATTCTCTCCAACTCCAAAATAATGTTTTTTCTATTATTTTATGTTTATATTTTTTCTCAAACAACTCGTATAGTACATGGGTGTCATTTATTATTAAATTAAATGAATAAAGTGTAGTTGTTCTGTATATTATTTAAATCACTATCCCTTTCATTCTGATTCCCCTTCATCTCGATTGTTCATCTTACAAAAATTGAATTTAAGTAGGAGAGACTTAAAAATTCTGTATTTTCTATTTTTGCACTTTTATACAACAACATGTATTTTTTTTATTATTTTATATTTTATTTTTTTTTTTCAAACAACCCATGTAGTACACGAGTGTCGTACTAGTATTATCTTATTTGGAAATCATATCAGATGTTTCATGTTTGTAAGTTTTACGATTTTCTTCCTCTTTATAAAATACTTATTATTTTTATTTTTCATTACCTATTTTTTAAATTACCATGCACAATTGAATACGACACTCTTAATTGTCATTACAAATGTACAATGAACAATTAGTCACAATAGACAACAACATTGTAATGTTGCACTTTTTTAAATATAGTTACATGCATATTATTACTCACAATTACATTATTATTTCTTTTTTCATCTAAAAACTTTAAATAACGCATTCCTTTACGATGGTTTAAAAAATCTACTTTCATCTTCATTTCACCGTCACTCGTCTTCCCGTCAATAGAACTTTGGAGGATGTTTGGATATAAGATAATTTTGATTTTGATTGGATTTTTTGGTTTGGTGTGATTAATTTTAAAAAAAAGTGTATGATTAGTTATTAATGAGATTTTGAATTGATATTAAAATAATATTTTAAATAAAATAATTAAAGTTTTGTTTTTTTGGTACAAATAAAATAATTAAAGTTGATTTGATGTAAAAGTATGAGAGAAATGATGTGAAATGATAGTTAGTTAAAATTATGTGAGTTGATGAATCGTGAATTAAAGTTGATGTAATGTGTAAGAATGATTGAGTTGTATTATTTTATTATATTGATAATATTAAGAAAAATAAAGTTGAGTTAAAATTGAGTTAAAAAAAATAATTAATTAAAAATAATTAGATTTTTTTAAAAATATTTGTATCCAAGTTGTCTTGTTCGAAAGCATGGCCCTCTTTTCATGGCCCTTCTATTATTAGCGCGCCTGGATTTTTCCTTTTTAAATGAAGGGGAAGGTCCACTTTTGGTCCTCCATGTTTAGGGGGTATCCAGACTGAGTCCCTATTATGTTTTGGTGCCCAATTTTAGTCCTTAAAACAAAAAAATGTAGTCCCTATAATTGGAAAAAATCCACTTTTAGTCCTCCATGTTTAGGGGTATCCAGATTTAATCCCTATTATGTTTTGATGCTCAATTTTAGTCCTTAAAACAAAAAAATATAGTCTCTTTACCTCAATTTATGTGAATTAACGGTCCATTTTTGCTCGACCGTTATGTTCTTTATTTTTTTTAAATTTGTTGACTAATGTCAACTTTGACCAAAGAAAAATAAAAGAAAATTTAAATGCTGAAAAAGTAAAATAAAAGGCAGAAATAGTGAACTGCAGTGAAACGTAAAAAAAAAACCCTAACCGCCTAGGGACTAAATCCGATCAAATGGATGGAAATGGTGTGGTATTTTGTAGATGTGAGCTGGTTGCAAAGTTGACTACATGCTGGAAGGATGATAATCTCGGGAGAAGATTCTTGAGTTGCCCTCTATATCCTGTAAGTACTTTCCGTGAACTTTAATTGGAATATGATAAGAAATGGTTAAAAAACAGAGGGTTGATAGGTGCAATTTTTTTCGATGGCATGACCCGGAAATGGGTGCAAGAGCATTAGCTGTGATTCCAGGCTTGCTCCGCAGCGCGAATGCTAGGGAAATAGAAATCAGACGAGCAAAAATTTTAATTTAATTTAGTGCAATTTCTTGTTTTAGTTTAATTTTTTATTAATATATTTTCAGCATTTAAATTTTCTTTTATTTTTCTTTGGTCAAAGTTGACATTAATCAACAAATTTTAAAAAATAAAGAACATCACAGTCGAGCAAAAAGGGACCGTTAATTCACAGAAATTGAGGTAAAGGGACTACATTTTTTTTTGGACTAAAATTGAGCACCAAAACATAATAGGGATTCATTTTTTTGTTTTAAGGACTAAAATTGGGCACCAAAACATAATAGGGACTCATTTTTTTGTTTTAAGGACTAAAATTGGGCACCAAAACATAATAGGGACTCATTTTTTTGTTTTAAGGACTAAAATTGGACACCAAAACATAATAGGGACTCAGTCTGGATACCCCCTAAACATGGAGGACCAAAAGTGGAGTTTACCCTTAAATGAACCAAAACATTTCCTAATAACATTACTATTCTTTATTATTTTTCTATCTTTAATCTCACTAACATAACAACCCCATTATTCATTCAATCACATATCTATTACTATATAATACAGTTAAGAAAAACTATTCAAACAAGCCCAAAAAAGAAAAATAATTCATTTTTCCGCTTTTTTAAAGTCATTTTCCCACTTTGTATTTCGTTTTTTACCATTTTCGAAAGTTTTTTTTTTACTTTTTCCCGCACATGCAATTTGTTTGAAATAATTCACCCATGCAATTTGCTTGAAATCCGCCCATGCAATTTGTTTAAATTAGATACCGGATATCTATTACTATATAATACGGAGAAGAAAAATTATTTGAATAATTCGAAAATAATCATTTCGTTTTCCCGCTTCAATATAGTGTTTTCCCGCTTCTTCAATTCGTAAATTTTTTTTTTGAATTTTTTCAGCCCATGCAATTAGGTAACCAATCAAATCGAATCTTTTAGCATTCAATTTGGTAAGGTGTTCCGATTTTAGCATTCAAATTCGATTTCACTTCCTTTTTTTATGCCAATCAATCCGATTTTTTTGGTTGTTTCAAAATTTGTTTAAATTTATATTTTTATTTTATTAATATATTTGAAAGAGAATCAATAAATGTTTATCATAACTTTTATTTTAAAAATAAATTTGAATAAACATACCTTTTACTTTATATGAAATTCAAAATTACATATTTTAATATATTAATAAACGTTTATTATTTATTTTTTCCTTATGTGATATAATAGAATTTCGGTATTAAATTTGTAAATTCAAACATTTAAAGGAAAAGATTCCAAACAATTTTTTTGGGTAAATTTCATTTTATCTTGGTTTTCATTATCACATTTCTAACAAACTAATTAGTATTATATTTTTTTATCTACATTATCTAACCGATTTTTTATGATACAATTAATATAATATCTTAACAAATTAATCATTTGTCTAACCGGATTTATCTCTCTAACAAACTTGTCAATTTTTTTAAAATTAAAATGATATGATTATTCTTATGGAGATACTTATCAATATATTAAATATTTAGAAACTTTTTTTAAAAAATGAATTATCCCTCCTTTTACTTTATTTGAAATTCTGACTTATATTTTTAAATATATTATTATTTATTTTTTTACATGTAAATATTTATAATTTATTATCTAAGTGATAAATATTATTGATTTATCTCTTTAATAAATATTTATTAATTATTTTTTTCCTTACGTGATATAATGTAAATTTGGTTACTAGATTTTTAAATTCAAACATTTAGGAAAAAACCACGAACAAATTTTTTGGTTACATTTCATTTTATTTTAACTTTCATATAATCACAATCCTAACAAACTAATTAGTATAATATTTTTTTACCCATTTTTATATAATCGGATTTCTTAAAATATAATTAATATAACATTTTAACTATTTAATCATTTGTATAACTTGATTTAACTCATTATCAAACTTGTCAAATTTTTTTTGAAATTAAAAAAAATTTGGAAGATGTTTATTTGTAAAATAATAAAAAATAGCTTAACTTTAAAGTCTCGATTATTTCCATTATTTTTTGTACATTAACAATCATATATTTTGGATTATTGATTTAAAAAAACAAATCAAAACCGTAAGGTTTAATAATATTTCTTAAATAAAAAATATTGTATAAAGAAAAATATTTAATATTATATATTTTTCATTGATGGTATTTATTATTTTCATAATAGAGGAGATGTGAAAAATATAAATAATTATATTTAAAATAAAGTCTAAAAAATGTTTAAAATATGAACTCTTCCGTGCATCGCACGGGATATACACTAGTTGTTAACTAAGATGATAAGATTTTGGTAAAAAAATCGGATATTGTTAATTGATACGTAATATGGT